TTCAGTATTGGTTCCAGTGATTGCTTCATTATAAAGAACTGACGGTTCATCTCAAAGACAAGAAGAGACTGCTCCTTTGATGCCAACTGAGCAAATAACTGGAGGGCCTCGTCACACAAACTAATGAACTCCCTAAAATAATAAACAACAACAATTACATAAACAATTTTGCATATGCATGCATGTAAAGTCCATATACTGTCGAAAATGAAAAGTAGAGAATTCATTTAAAATTTTTTTCTGATGCATATACATGTTCTTATGTTGCATAGAAAGTTGAGCTGATTCCGATCAAAATTGGACTTTTTACGAATTTTTAAAGTTGCTCCAAAATTGGGCCAAAGTCCCTGTACTTGGTTATTGGCCAATTCAATTTCGTCAAAAATTAAAATTTAAAAATTCTCCACTTTTATCATTTTAAAAATTCCATATACATGTTCCTATATTATGTAGAAGGTTCTTAGTCCCATACCTGTATACTTCTTTCAAGCTCTCAATGTGTTCCTGTGGGTACCTGTCAGCAGCTGGTCCCAGGTCCTTCAAGAACACATTAGCGTACTCCTGTACACCTTGATTAACCTATAATGGAGGAGAGAAAGAGAGGAGAGGATATTTAATAAATGAATGTAGATTTGCTCAAGAGAGCCTAATCAATATAATAAAATTCTGGGGGGGAGGCATGTGACTATAAATACTGCTTAAGGGGGTAATGTAATGCAAAGCCCAGGTACAAATTCTCCCCCTGCCCCCCTAAGTTAAATATTAGCAATTAAATATGCTGGGGGGCATATGACTATAAACTTAAGTAACAAATGCTTAAGGGGGCAAGCCAAAGCTAGAGAACAAATTCTCCCCCAGCCCCCCTAAGTTAAATATTAGTGATTACTTGTGCTGTGATGCTTCCTTGCAGTAACAGCTGCAGTTTCACTAAGTCAGTCTTTTCCTTGTGTATCTCAGTATGTAAGTCACTACCTTTCCTTCCTATGGCTTCAACAGCCACCTGTAAACAACAACAACATTAAAACTATTATACATGTATTACATGTATAGCTGTACATGTACATGTATATTACGTGTGATTTATCCCTTATATACATGTACATGTACATATACATGTATTACATTTACATGTACATGCATATGTACCTCAATAGGTGATAATTCAGTTTCAGACGTTTCAAGGATTGGTATCCTTTTAACAATGTAGGGGAAGGAATGAGTGGCTATTAAAAATAAAAACAATAATAATGATGATGCTTTAAAATTTAATCCTTCTTCTCTTTCTCTCTCTCTCTTACTTTTTAACAATGTCTTCCTCATCCATTGTGAGCTCACTGTACCGTGAGATTTACCACTCTTAGTGAAGGGGGTCTCGTAATAGAAAGAATACAAATTAATTTCTCGTTCAAATTGAGTGTCTCTCTTGGCCAGTTCCTCTTCAGTGAAGTGAGGAGTAACGTGAGTGATCTGTATGTAGACTTTATCAGGATCAAGACTTTTAACATCAACCTACAATCATTAATAAATTTATAAATATGTGTCCTCCCTCCCTCCCTCCCTCTCTCTCTCTCTCTCTCTCTCTCTCTCTCTCTCTCTCTCTCTCCCTCTCTCT